AAGCGCCACGCACCCGGGGCCAGGCCAGCCCTGAGCACTTGGCGGACCACGGCTCTATGCAGTCTAAGTAATTGTGTAAAATCTACACATTTTACCCCACTTTATAGATCATTAATGAATATGTTGATTACTACTACTGGTCCCAGCACAGACCTCTTGGGAACACTACTATTCACATTTCTTCATTCTAAAAATTGGCCATTTATTGCTACCCTTTGTTTCCTATCTTTTAATCAGTTAGGCTGCGTCTAGACTGGCATGATTTTGCGGAAATACTTTTATCGGAAAAGTTTTTACGTTAAAAGTATTTCCGCAAAAGAGCGTCTAGATTGGCATGGATGCTTTTGTGCAAAAAGTGCTTTTGCGCAAAAGCATCTGTGCCTGGTATAGACGCGCTTTTGCGCAAGAAAGCTCCGATGGCCATTTTAGCCATCGGGCTTTCTTGTGCAAAAAATTAAGGTGCCTGTCTACACTGGCCCTCTTGTGCAAGTATTCTTGCGCAAGAGGGCTTATCTCTGAGCAGGAGCGTCAAAGTATTTGCGCAAGAAGCACTGAATTCTTACATTAGAACGTCAATGCTCTTGCACAAATTCAAGCGGCCAGTGTAGACAGCTGGACACTCCAACCAGGTAGTTATTGCACCAAGAGCATGTATTTGTGTAGAGGCATCAAACTCTCTTTTGACCACCCTCATTTGTTTGTTTCATTTTTTGTGTTGCAATCATTTGGCAATTAACAGGGCTGGTATAGAATTTACTAGAACTATTCTTTTTCTAGTTAATAATTCAACCCATCTGTTTGGTCTTAGAGGATTTAATGTGCGATACCTAGAAAAATAAGATTTTCACGCACAAGCAGTGATCAGAGATGAAGTTTTATTGTGGGTCTGTTAAAAGATAGCTATGATATCTCTACCTGAAAAATGTTGAAGATTTCCACACCTCAACCTAAGCTTTATTATTCCAATATGTAGATGCGCGTGTACGTTATATATGCACACTATGGCCAACATTTTCAAAAGTGACGAGTGATTTTGGAGGCCTAACCCATTTGGGATTCAAGCTTATGACACTTTCTAAACAGGCCTGATTTTCAAACAACACTGAGCATGCGCTCGCTGACAATCTGAAGTGCGGCACCTTAAAATCGCAGGTAAATAAAATCTCTAGTCACGTTTGAAAACGTTGGTCTTTGTGTAAAGCTTAGTTACCCACGAGGCCCAGTCTTGCGCACATGAAGTCGCCAGCTGTTTTGCTACTAAATTCAATAGAGCAGTGGCCCTTGTCGCAGTTAGTTTGGTGCGCATGGTATGTCAAAGGTTCCATTTATAAATGCTTTATGCAGGGTTAATAAATAATTAATAGACATTGTACTAAATGGTTCATTAATTATAGATTGTTAAAACATCTGACCAACTAATACATGGTTTGTAATCCCGGTTTGCCATACCTTATATCATCTATTAACCCTCAGAAAGCATTCTTAAAGTGAACCTTAATAGGAACTGTTTGATCGGTTGCTGAATAACTTTAAAGTGTGGCAGTTGTCAAAAAGTAATTGTGTGGTTCTTTAGTTGCTCTGTCTCCGTGACTCTCAGCTCAAAACTGGCTCAGTTGACAAGTCAGAAAATAGATAATGGTTTTCTCTTTGGTCATGATGAAAATTCCACCTTCTTTCTGAAAAATCATGTTGCATGTTAATATATTCTAATATTTATATTACTAAAAAGCCCATCACATGTCTCTGGATGCATGCATACATTTGTTTTAAAGTAGAGACAAAGGACAAATAAATCCCATTATCTCATACATCAAGCAAAAACATGAGTTAAACATACTATGAGACAATAAAGTGAAGGAGATACCGTATAAAGAAAAGATCAAGGTAAAAAAGGCTTTATGTAATCCTATATTTAAAAAGAACATATATTTTACAAGAGTCTAATTGATAGATATGTCCAGACATAGGTACAGCATGTAAGACTATAAAATGCAATAAATAAATATCTACTGCACTGTTTTAACTAATTAATGGAAATGAGAGCCATGACAGATTACTTAAGCATTGCGCTCTGACACAACA